TTTTTTATCAAAATGACAAACTTTTTGTTTCAAATTTTGAAAGAAAAAAGATTTTAACGTCAGAGTAGTTGCAGAATTTTCCTTAACCGAATATTTTTAATTGGTCAATGTATGAAAATATAAGAAAGTGAGACATTCTATTTCTTTATATCGTGCATAAATGACCAATCATGAGTATTTGGTATATGTCCAACTATTCTGTGTAAGTATTACTGAGCCGATGGCTTAAAGTGAATAGCATGACATACAAATTTAATTGATCATTTATACAAAATATAAAGAAGTGTAACTCTATTTTCCTATTTTTGGTAAAAATATCCAATCAAAATTATAAGATGAGATAATTCATTTTGAGAATATTAAAAGCATTGTGAATTAAATAGTTGTAACGGGTGGGCGCTTGCCTATTTACCCAAAAACTCGAACTATTGGGTAGTGTTGCATACCCATCCATTTATACTCATGTCACTTCCCATCCGGATCCGATGTGGGACAAGTTTTCCCTTGTAACATTCTACCCCACCCGAACTCGCAACGCCCTCGTTGCGGTTGGGCCACCCTGCCTACCCGGGGTGGCTCACTCGGATGCCTTCCAGGCCGAGCGCTTGGCGTGACACCGGATTAAGAATTGGGTTTGGCTCTGATACCAACTGTAACGGGTGGGCGCTTACCCATTTATCCAAAAACTCGAACTATTGGGTAATACTACATACCTATCTATTTATACCCATGTCATTTCCCATCTAGATCCGATACGTGACAAGTTTACTCTGTAACAATAGTCCATGTGAATCTGCTGTTCCGTTGACGCCAAAATTTGGGTAGTCCGCATGATCAAATTAATTTTATAATGTTTGACTTCTTAAAAATTAATTCTGTGTACCCGTATTTCCATAAAAGTTCACAATGCATTAAAAGGATTTTGTTTTCTTTTTTTTTGACAAAAGTACCCTTTCAATGAGATGGGTCTCTTCTTTGTATATCTTCAACAACAATCCCCATTGTACGCATATCTGTGATGAGGGACGCAGTCTGTCTGTCTTACTGCGAATCTTATAAAGAAGCAGGAGATGAGATGAAAGATGGTACTGGATATATATATATATTAATCTTATAATTTATATCTTAAATATAAACAGGGTTATAACTATTTAATATGTGGTAGATTTTTAGTTAAATTTTTAGCATCATCTGATTTATTTCAGAATTAGTCAATTCAGATCTGTGAAAATCTTTCGAGGAAGATTTGTGTATTAAAATTGTATTTCGAATATATTGATGTTGTATGGATTTACACGGTTGAAACCTGCCCATCCCTTCGACTCTTGCCGGTGAAGTACTCGGCAACAATTGGAAAAGCCCTCTTGTTGTCTTGCGTTTGTTGTTGAAGTTGTCGGCCAGTGCATCTGGGAATGGATAACGATGACAAAAATGCAGAACATCAAGGTTAATTTTGTCCAAAATATTTTATGTTTTTAATGTCCTTAAAGAATATACCCATTCAACCACATGAATTTTTTCGTATCATTACTCTTTAATTGTTAGGTGTGGTCTCATCCATTAGCCAAAGAAATAAATTTATCTTTTCAAAACCTCGATTTGAGAAATAAATTTAAATAGCATTGTTGGACAAAAAATTCTTTAATGACTCGACTGCGATCAATAAATCTACGGAGCAAGTTTAGATATAGCATCTGAATTAAGTTAACCCAACGGTCCCTCACCTATCACTTTATAAAGTAAGAATAATACTACTAGATTAATATTTTTAATAAACATACTCCAGTTCTTTCCTCCATTCATCAAATTCTACTTCTACTAGTAAAGGTGAACTCCAAATCACATGTGCGTTTTCTATTTCTGGATTAAATGCTCAAACATCTTTTCGGCTCAGTAGGATAGAATTTTAATCTTTTCATTTTCATTTTGTTAATTTCTTGCATGTATATATATTTTAAATAATAGGATAAAGTACAGAAATACTTTTTGAGGTTTGTCAAAAAGACACCCGGATAAAAATTATCCTCTTGTGAAATTTGGCATCCAAATAGAGCCTTAAAACATGTTAAAAGTCGATTTTAACCTTTATTATTTTATTAATTTTAATTATAAAATATCAAAATATTTAAATAACTAAGTTACCCGCAGCACCCGATCAATCCTACAACCCCACAACTAAATTCTCTCTCTACTCTCTTTCTCCAATCTCCTCAACCTCTCCATCTCCACCGCCACCCTCCTCAACCTCTCCATTTCCAACCGCGAAGCCCTAATGTCCACCCGCGGCCTCCGTGAAGCCCTACTGTTTGACTGTAGTCATTTGGGGCAAAGGTGAGTCCAGCGAAGACAAACCCATTCCGGTGACGGCGAACTAACAGTAGATCGGCGACTGCGGGCCTGAAGAGCTCGATCATGAGGAGAAAAACTTGTTCGGTACCAATGGCTTCGATGATAGCGGGCTCGGCGTGCTCGATCTTGCTCTCTCCGTTCTCTCTCCTCTCCACCCACCATCACCGCCATAGATACATAAATATATATATACACAGTGATGAATTGTATATATACTAGAATATGCAATCTAGGTTGTCACTAAATTGTCACTAAATAGAAATTCCATAATAAAGGTAGTAAATCGACTTTCTTTAATGGTATTAGTGATAGAGAAGCATTTTCACCGAAGCAATTGATTTCTCAGATGAATTTGACCAAAGCAACAATCCAAGCTTGGTGCAACATGGAATAGGAATGGAAATGGGTCTCGCTGCTGAAACTTTGAAGTAGGAGAAAATCAACCGCAAGCAAAGAATTGTTTAGAAGCTTGGAATGGATTTTGGTATGCGAGAACAGAACACACAGGTGTGTTCGGGTTAGGGTTTGAGATGGGTTTGGGTTTAATCCAAGGGCATTTAGATTAATTAAAATGTTAATTTTATTTCAAAGGACAATAAGGTTAATTCATCAACTTCAGATCTTTTCGTCCATTTTTCAAACATAAAGGAGTGTCATTGTCTAAAAATTGACAAACTTTTATTTGAATATCCTTTTAACAAAATTCAGGAGGTGTTTTATATTTTACCCTAAATAATAATACAATTTGCACTAATATTCACGATCAGGGGTAATAGGGTATCAAGGAATGCATGAAATTATATAAAATAGAAGTGAAATGTACATCATAATTAATATTTTAACATCAGAATCTTAGGATTTAGAATTTTAATGATTTAATTATTATTGAATGTTTTAGATGTTTTTGATAATGATAATAAAACTTATCTTCAATTTGAAATTGCTGTCAACGATTAAAGATTTAATAATTTCTTCTTTTTATTGTTCAGATGATCAAAATCGTGATTTCCACTACAATTGGACTTAGTAAACTAGTTGTTTTCTTTTTTAAAATGAAAAGAAGTATACATTATATTAAGTTTTATACATATAGTCTTAGACAATCAAGTTGTGTTCCACATTGCAAAAAATCCAATCTTTCATCAAAGCAAAGGCTCCCATGGAAGTTTATTGTTTCTAGATAAATCCCTTATAAACCTGTGGTGGTCTTCACTAAACCTTCCGACAAAGCTTCATTTCATGGTCTCATATACACGAGGGCGCATCATTTATTGGTCAAGAAGCAAATAAATTAGAGTGTCTTTACATACCCTCTTAGAGTTGTGTGTTTTCTTGACTCTCGTGAATCCAATGCAAAAAATAGTAACCTTCAAAATTTTTTTTTTTCTTTTTTGTTCTTTAAGTTAAGCAAGTTGAATATTATATATGAAACAGAATTCAGCTTTAGCTGAATGAAGTGGGCTAACCCACCAATTTACATGGACCCAGAAAATGGGCCAGCAAACCAAACCATGACTCATGGAGGTTTGAAAAAACTATGGCCCATGCAAAACAATCCAATGTCTTTCCAATATCACCTAACATGAAAAGCTATGACCTAATCCATCGGTATAATAACCCAATATAAAGCTTTGACCTGGTAATTTATTAACCACATAGAGCGAGGAGCATCCGGGGGCAGCAGTGGAGGGCGAGGCTGAGCATGTGTTGGTTCTTGCTCCCATTCAATTTGATGACTTGATTTGCACAAAAATAGTATCAGCGTGCACAAAACTCTGTATATAATGATTTTTTTTATTAATCTTGTAATAAAAATAATACCTTTGCGTGGTGCGTACATATATATATATAAATAATACTTTAAAAGTACTTTGGTCAAATGAGTATTTTTGCATATACATCTCAGGCTTCCTGCAAAGTCCATCACTGTCAAAAAAAAAAAAACAAAGAAGGAGGAAGGGGGTTGACTTGATTTTATGACCATGTAAAAGACCTCCAAATGTCTATGTTTCTGAAATTATATATCTCTAAATTTAAAGAGTATCCCGTAAAGATGGAGAGAAGTCAAGAGACTGCAAATTAAAGAATATATATATACACACTCACACACATACACAAACTAGTGCAGAAGACAATGTATATTTACGAACGTTAGAGATAGAGAGATAATCCCTGTTTAATTGTTATTGTTGATTCTCACTTTCCTCTTCAATTGCTAATTTATTTAGTTTGCTAAAATAAAAATAAAAAATAATAATTAAACAAGTATAATAATCTCAAAATAAAAGGATATTCATATCTTTTAGTCATTGTCACATAAAATTTGAAATAGGCGAATTAGATTTGAAATTTGTAACACTGCTTAATATAATTAATATATATATATATATATATATTTCCAAACTCTCATCACGTTTTGTCAGTGATGGTTAAAAATTTAAGCTTGGTTTGATTCACGAATCCCAAATTGGGTCACACCCTTTTCTTAGTGCCAGGGAAAGTTGCCACCTATTTCGTTCCCATAAGTCTCCCCGTATTTTCTACGGCAAGCATTCTCAAGTGGCCTCCATCTGTGCACTAAAAATCAAAATGGCTCTATTGACTATTTGACTTCCGTCAGTCTTCCCAAGCCCAGTCAACACTTGCACCTTTACCACTCAATTCCGAAGTTTTCTCTGAATCTGATTTTGATAAACCAAACCCTTTTCTCAATGCCCAAAAACTAGAAACTAAGACAAGTTTGATCGCCCACTATGCCTTCCTTCAATATCTTCACACCCCTTCTCCTTCTTTGCTTGCTTAGCCTCGCCACTAAATTTAGCTTCCAACCTCTTTCCTCTTACTGCCCAAATTCAACCACTTACACTCCTAAGAGCACCTATCACACCAATCTCAATCTCCTCGTCTCCTACCTCTCCTCCAACGCTATCACGGCCAAAAACGGATTCTATAACACCACCGCCGGTCGCAGCCCAAACATAGCTTACGGCCTCTTTCTATGCCGTGGCGATGTTATCAACGATGAGTGTCAGGATTGTGTCACGACAGCAAGTAGAGAGATACTAGAGATTTGTCCAAATAGGACAGTGGCAACGGTTTGGTACGACAAATGCTTGTTACGATACTCAAATAAAAACATCTTCTCCAGTATGGACACGTCGATTTGGATAATTATGTACAACCCACAGAATGTGACCGAGCCCGAGCGGTTTAGGCCGCTATTGGCGAGCACAATGGATGAGTTAGCCACTCGGGCTGCAAGTGACGGTTCAGGTAAGAAGTTTGCTACTAAAGAAGCCACCTTCACAGTGTTTCAGAAGCTGTATGGACTTGTGCAGTGCACACCGGACCTGTCTAAAAATGATTGCAACACCTGCTTTCGAGATGCTATAGCACGTCTTCCAAGTTGCTGCGACATAAAGCTGGGGGCGAGAATTCTGTTTCCAAGCTGCAATATTCGCAACGAGTTTTACCCTTTCTACACAATAGCTACGCCGGATTCTAATGATAAAGGTAAACTCCACATCCTAAATACATTTGTTTTGCTGAGTTATACTTAGAAAATCATACGAATCGTGAAAATTATATTGTGATCCATGTGCTTTGAATTTCAGTTATAATATGACAAATTATTTATAGTTGGAAAGTTAGAGAACTTGGACCTCACAAAATTATCATACTTTTGGGCTACCTGGACTAACTAGTTCTTTTGGGTCTATTCCATCACTAACTAATCATGTTTTGTTAGACTAACCAGGTGTTACGTTGCTTTGTGTCCTCCAATATACACAAAACTACTACTTAGTTGAAATTATCATACTTTTGGGCCTCCCGGACTAACTAGTTTTTTTGGGTCACTAACAATGGATCTCCAAGTTAAAATTTACACGCAAATCAATATATTTTGCTTTACCTTCCCCCTATATAATAATAAATAAATGAAATTTGTTGGGAGCACAAAATTAGATTTAATTTAAAAGTTCGTTTTTGAGTGACAACTGTTACCATTGACAAGTACGTTGTATTGGAGACGATCTGGATTCAATATATATGACTCTTACCATATTCTATACCACCTTCAACTTATTATTTGAAACACTGTCTAAAAATCAATTTCATTAAGGAAATATTATTTGTTCATAGTGAATTTTCAATTAAGCAGTTTCGTTTGATGCAGGAAATGGGGGAATCTCAACGACAGTAATTCTTGCCATTGTTGTCGTAGTAGTTGTGGCATTGCTGCTCTTTTCCATTGTTTTATGGTGCAATGTTACGAAAGCAAGGAAAAAATACATTGCTTACAGTGCTATTAAAGAAGATGGTAATAAATAAATCCGCACTTGTTTAAACTTTAAAACCAAATTTGCTCTCAGTATCACAAATATTACTGATGTCGATAAATTTGGTGTTTGATTGTGTAGTTGGTGATGATATCACATATGATTTTGAAACAATTGCAGCAGCCACAAATAACTTCTCTCATGACAATAAAATTGGTCAAGGCGGATTTGGTGCAGTCTATAAAGTAAGTGGTTAGTATTTGTGCTTTAATTTCAAGATAGCTCCCAAATTTTGTAGCTGAGGACCCATATTTACTAAACTACGAAGTTGGACCAATTCCATGTATAGATTTCAAATTTACAACTTTGTATATAAAGTTATGAAGTAATGTTGAAGTTTTCATTCATAATTACCACCGGCCCTCTTTTTTATTTTTTATTTTTAAGATGGAGAAGTTATACCATTAGACTAGAGATCCTTCCTTCTAATGTAGCAAAACATTTCATTTCAATATGCATATTTATGCCCAAATACATTGATGTATGGGTTCACAATAATGCTACGTTTGATGCGTTGGAATTGAATAAAATGATCATTCCATTTCCATGTAGTGTCTTAAAAATAATCAAGTTCTCAAAACACCCACATGCTCCTGGTCCAAAAACCATCACCATCGCTTTTTACCACAAACCACTCTTGACTTTCACCATCACCACCACCTCTATTGCCTCCCACCACCGTCAATGACACCGCCACCATTGTTGCCACCTTCAACCACCACACCGCTGCCACCTCCACCATGGCCATCACTACCACCGACTTCTACCAATGCCACCACCTTCCACAAAAACCACATTTGACCACTGCCACCTCCACTGCCTTCCACCACGTACCGTCATTGCCACCACCATTACCACTGCCACCGCCTTCACCATCACCGCCACCTTCCACCGCCACTGCTGCCTTCCACCTCCTCCACCATCGTCACTGCCATCACTACCACCGTAGCTGCCTTCCACCACCATCACACTACCTCCACCTCCACCTCCACCACTACCGCCACCAACTTCCACCACCGCCGCCACCTCCACCTCCACTTCCACCGACTTTCATCACCTCCACCACCGCCGCCATCACCTCCACCTCTATCACCACCGCCGCTGACTTCCATCACCACCACCACCGTCACCTCCACTACCTTCCACCACCACCATCTACACCACTGCCGTCTTCCACCACTGCCACAGCCATCGCCGCTACCTTCCACCATCATCACCTACACCACTAACGTCTTCCACCATTACCATCACCACCACCGCCACTATCACTGCCTTCCGCTATCACTGTCGTCGCCTTCCAACAACACTACCTCCTTTCACCTCCACCACCATCAACTACCGTCGCCATTTCTTTTAAAAAAATTATAGAAGAATGAAAATGACCATTCCATTCCATTCTCATTCTTATTCCATTCTTACTTACATTCTATTACATTCCTGCACACCAAACGCAGCGTAACATCTTATAAATTAGTGCTCAAGTTATTTTAGAACCACTGTATTTGATACGATTTGTGGATTACATATGGTATTTCAACAAACAGTGGAAGTTAATTCAACAACTGTGATTGTTCATAGTTTGGTAATTAAAGAACCAAAAGACCATATTTATGTAGCTCCCCTTGATTTTAAGCATACCAAATTCGGCATTCAAAAAGTTTACTAAGTTTATGATATTTCAGATAAATTATTCAATTATTGGTGATTTTCATAACATATACATACAGGGTACACTTCCTAATGGACAAGAGATAGCTGTGAAGAGACTATCCAAAAGCTCTGGACAAGGTGCGGAAGAATTTAAAAATGAGGTTATGATGGTAGCTAAGCTTCAACATAGAAATTTAGTGAGAGTATTGGGATTTTGCTTGGAAGGAGAAGAAAAGATACTCATATATGAATTCTTCCCCAACAAAAGCCTGGACTATTTCTTATTTGGTCTGGCCCATCTCTAAAAATTTATCTAGTTATTGAATTTCTTATTTTTGTCTTATGATTTACTCCTTAAAAATACATGATGTCCATGGAAACAAATGATCTGAATTAGCAAAATAATAATAGTAATAAATATAGATGCTTGCACTGATTTGTTGCAGTGAATTAACTAGCCGAAAGTTTGTGATTAGTTATTAATGCACAATACAAGTAAGTGGATGGCGACATTATTTTATTTGCTGCATTAATTGACCAATTAAAATAAGTAGGTCCGGTAACTCACTGCAACAAATCGGTGTAAGAATCATTTTTCATAAACATATATACTGTGTATATGGATGTTCCAAAGCCCAAAAAGTTGTCGATTTTATTTTGGGTTCCACATGTTGTGAGTCATAGTATTAGTTACACGTATTGCATTTGTCTATTTGTTGAATTACATTATTATGTAGTATATATTACAAAAACCTAAATTCTCGATGCTAACTTAAATATTTATCATGATCGGTATATAGATCCCACAAAACAAATTCAATTGGATTGGTCGAGACGTTACAAGATTATAAGAGGCATAGCACGAGGAATCTTTTATCTTCATGAAGATTCTCAACTTAGAATTATACATCGTGATCTCAAGGCTAGCAACATACTTTTAGATGAAGATATGAGTGCAAAAATTTCAGATTTTGGCATGGCAAAAATTTTCGGCGTGGATCAAACTCGAGGAAATACGAGTAGAATTGTTGGGACATTGTAAGTTGACAATCCTGACATTCCCTTCTTCTTTCCCATAGTTTGAATTAATGAAATTAAGAATGTCTAATCTCAATTAGAACTTTAGGTCCACAAAAAAAAAAAAAAGTAGAAAAAACAGAGAGGCAAAGGTCATTTTGATGATTTAAAAACTTCTTCAACTCTGATAAAACAGCCATGCTTATAAGTTGCCTAGCATCTTTCTAGCTATTACTAGTATCTGCTTGATTGTTGGTTTTCAATTAATTTTTGTGCATTAAATCATCAAATATTTTGCTTTATTATAAGTACTGTCAAATAGACTTTGTTGTTGTGTTCTTACTTCTGTTTTGTACCAATGGTGCTGGATTGTAGTGGTTACATGTCTCCAGAGTATGCGATACACGGACAATTCTCTGTAAAGACTGACGTGTTCAGTTTTGGAGTACTAATTTTAGAGATCATAACCGGCAAGAAAAATAGTGATTTCTATGAATCAGATGGTGCCGGAGACCTTCTGAGCTATGTGAGTGCAAACTGAATGCTACAATTGTTATTCTTTGCCAATGATATCAATGTGAGCATCTCAACATGAACTTAGGAACAATACATCTTTTTTACATCAATTGACAAATTGTCACAGGCTTGGAAATATTGGAGGGATGGAACACTCATGGAATTGATGGATCCAACTCTAGCAGATTCTCATTCAAGAATAGAAGTCATTAGATGCATCCATATTGGCTTATTGTGTGTTCAAGAAGATTTTGATGCCAGGCCCTCTATGGTATCTGTGGATCTTATGCTCAACAGTTATTCTGTTACCCTACAAGTACCTCAACATCCTCCATTCTTTGCCCATAGCAGAACCGAGTTGAACGCTACAAGCGAGTCAATCCAATGATATTTGAATGAAGCATCAATTACTGAACTACACCCTAGAAAATGCTCGGTTCAAAGCCAGGACAATCTAAAAAACTTGTGTATGCTATAAAGTGTGAAATGAATACTGGCAAGCTCACAGGATATGAATGTGTATCATCAGAGGTTGATCGAGAGAGTAGCATTTGTTCAGACCTATTGCTATGTTTTAATTTTTCTGCATGTTACATTATTTGTCAAACAAAATCCCATGTTACACATTCAATGAAATGGTCGGTCCACGATACAATATTGACATGGAAAGTTTGCTCTCAACTTCTCTACTTTCTCTGCCTGCTTAGATGGAGAGTACTTTTAGAAAGGAGATAAGGTGGGAAGATGGCATTTAATTAAGGCTCTGTTTGGTTAGATGGAAATAGTAAAAAAGGAAAAGAATTGAAAAATGGAAAGAAAAGTGAAGTGAATGAAAAGAAAATTGATTTTTTAGTATGTATTTAGTTATGATGAAAATTTATTCAAGAAAATTGTAGGAAAATATCATATTATAGTTTGAATACCTAAATTACTCTTATTTCATAAAATAAAAAATAATAAAAAATTTGTAATAAAATATATTAAAAAATGATAAAGTTTTCAATCAATTTAGACCCTTTGATTTACTATTATTCATATATGATGAAAAACAATTAGGAATGGAAGTCAAGTTAATTAAAATTTCCCCGTGTTTTGTGAAGGAAAGATTTTGAAAAAAATAAAGGGTTACAAGAATCTTAATTTTCTAAAACTTTTCATTTTCTATCTAACCAAACTATTAAAAAGTTATAAAATTTTCTATTTCTTTTATTCTCTAATTGATTCTATCTAACTAAATAAAGCCTAAGGAAAATGATATTACCTCGAAGTCAAAACATCTAAACTTCCTCCGAAGCAGTTGTGGCATAGCCACGTCAACTCACCATGTAACCATGGTTTTCTCTCTCTAAAAATTTGTCTTAGGAAGTCACTTCACTTTCTTCTTCTTTGTTTCTAGAATTCATGGCCACGATGTGCTCCGTCGATTGACAAGCAAGAAGGATAATCTAATAACAAAGATTTTTTCCTTACATATCTCGATAATTACTGGATGCGGATGCATGTAAGAGGAAATTGTACACGTCCAATCGTGATTTATAAGATATTTTAAATGGTCCCTTGGGGAAAATAAAATTCAGGTAACACTTTAGTTTGAGCATAAAATAGAAAAGAAAATTTCCAGATTCAACATGACGTCATCTACTTTATTTTTTCACTTCAGACAAAGTCAGCAACGCTCCACTAATCCTATAAACTAATACTGTAATTATTAAATCAGAGGTATTGACGTTAAAATTAAAAGCCTTGCCTCGCATAATTCACATTCCTTGCAACACTTTCTGATCCACCATGCGCACAACTTTGGTTAAAAATTAAAATTTGGTTACGACTCAAGTAACCCAATCAACCAGGACAAAGATGGTGACCCTTTTATTGCTGGAATAACTAGGAAACTTCCAACCTAGCATTTCCATTCCACTCCTGTTCTCGTCAATGTTGTCATTACTCTCCATTTATTTTCTACAACCAACAATCTCAGTGGACTCCATCTTGGCCTAAAAATCAAAATTGATTTATCGACTGCTTCAGTTTTTCTCTTGGGGCATAGGAGGACTCAAGAGGCTGACTTGGTCAAGATGACTTACTAAATATGAAAGTATGCATACACACGTTAATTGAAATCTTTATTAATTATAAATTAACTTAATAAGATTTTCAATATTACAAACATGAAAAAATTATTGATTGATATGAACATTGTAAATTATATATTATGCATTTTATTGTACTATACATTTGCAAATTACTTGCAATATGTATATTTTGAATCCACTAGGATTTTGTAAAACAGAGGAGGGAATAGCTAGCGATTAATTTGGACGAATTATTCACACAATCCAATTAATCAATCGCAAAGCGATCATCCTTTAGCTCGGTGCAAGTAAGTGCAAGAGAAGTTTCAAACTGTCTTCATCAAAATTATTGTTACACCAGCTGACCTTATTGACTAGACTGCCTCCATCAATAAGTATTCGGAGCAAACCGCCTGATTAACAGATTACACCTTAATTCACCACTCAGTTTCCTTCGTTCATATCTTAACCTGGTTTTGATCAATTAAATCTCTTTCTATGTATGTCTGACAGACTAGATTAACCAAGGGTGATCGAGTTCGAATTTACCGTAATGCCTTCCTTGATGGTCATCAATGTTATCTCAACAGCCCTCCTCTACTTTCTCTGCTTGCTTAGCCTCACCACTAAAGTTAGCTCAATACCTCTTGATAAGTACTGTCCAGATACAACCACTTACACACCTAATAGCCCCTACCATGCCAATCTCAAAATCCTCCTCTCTGATCTCTCCTCCAACGCCTCTACATCCGACAACGGATTCTATAACTCCACGGCTGGCACCAACCCCGACATAGTTTACGGCCTCTTCCTATGCCGGGGCGATGTTGCCGCCGATACGTGCCACGATTGTGTCACAACTGCAAGTAAAGAAATACTACAGGTGTGTCCTAGTAGAAGTGTGGCCATGGTTTGGTATGACTTGTGCTTCTTACGATACTCAAACAGATCCATCTTCAACATTAAGGACACATCGATTCAGGTTCTTACGTTCATCGTAGTTAACATCACTGACTCTGGGGAGCTTTCGTCTGTGTATTTGAAAAACACAATGAACGACCTAGCATTTTCGGCTGCAACTGATCAATCGGGTAAGAAATTTGCCACTAAAGATGTAGACTACGGAGCATTTCAGAACTTGTATGGGCTTGCGCAATGCACACCAGATCTATCTACCGATGATTGCCACAGCTGCCTTGAAGAAACTATCTTGCAGCTTCCGAATTGCTGCGAGGTAAATTGGGGGGCCAGAGTTTTGTTTCCCAGCTGTTACCTCAGATTCGGCTACCCCACTGCTCAGCTGCTCCGGCCGCCACCTCCAACTTCTACTAGTAGTAAAGGTAAATTTTACATCGATCTCATTGTATATGTATATATATGCCTACTTTTCTATCACACCACATAACTCATGCGGGAAAAACACACTTAAAAGTATCAATTTGTGTAAGGGTAATGATAGAACACATCCAAGAGAGAATTTTTTACCAATTTCAATTTTAATGCTTTAATTTCATGCTGCACGATACAAACTAATAATAATAATAATAATAATTAATTAATTAAAAGGTGAGAAAAAATCTTTAAAAATGTATTTAATATAGTTAATGGGCACATAACACCTCTTTACTATAAAATTATTAGCATACATTGACATTTTCAAAAGAGTAAAAAAATAAAACGAGCATTACAACAATGCTTCAAATCAAATCAAATATTTGAAAAAAAGTAATTTGAAAAATATTTTTGCTTATTTTTTAAAAAATAAAGAGGTTAATAATACAATTTTTAAAATATGAAATAAAAATATTAAGTCAAATATACTTTAGGAATATTTTATACACTTTACTCATATATTATATGCATAGAATTTTAATCAATTCATTTTGACGTCCAATAACAGTTTAAGCATTTACAATAGCAATAAACGAGGCATAGATCTGTGAAGGGCTACATGCCTCCACTGAAATTTTTTATTATTACATTTTATATCTCTAAATTTATACTTTTTGCATTTATACCTATAAAATTTTGAAATTATCCCAACTGAAACCATCGTATGATTTCCTAGATCCGTCGTGCAATAAACCCAGAAGTGTTTAATGCCTACAGAGTTGATTTGATTCCATTTATAAGGTATTACTAAAACCAAAACACTCTTTTTTGCAATGGGAATTAGAATTCTCTGCAATGCACTGCAACATGCTTTGGGATTTTTCAACACAATTAAATGTAAGTACTTGTTTTTCTTCTTTTTGTTTTTGCTAAAAAAAAAAAAAAAAAAAAAAAACCTTGGTTTATCTAACTGCTGAAATACTTATTAAGGGATTGGTACGTTAGTCTCTATGCATGTGATGGTAAAATTGGCCTGTACAAAATTTTAACATTCAGTTTTCGTTCTTGCAGGAGGAATCTCATCACAACTAAAAATTGCGATTGTTGTTTCAGTAATTGGTGCAGTGGTGCTTTTCTCCATTGGCATATGGTGCATGAGAACAAAAGCAAGGAGGAGAGACAATGCTACAGAAGAAGAAATAACTGGTAACACAGGTTATGTAGATGGAAGTGATATGATAACAGTACCGTCCTTGCAATATGATTTAAGAACAATTGAAACGGCCACAGATAACTTCTCAGATGATAACAAAATTGGTGAAGGTGGATTTGGTGCTGTGTACAAGGTAAGAATATATATATTTTGTTCGTGTACATGCATTTCAAAAAAATTTAAATTTCTAAGATGGAGTAAAAATATCATGGAGTGCTCTTACCACCCTGATAAAATTATTGTTGTGAAATTTATGGTGATCTAGAAGTTTATTATTTTTATATACATTCAGGGTACACTTTTTAATGGACAAGAAATAGCAGTGAAGAGACTATCTAAAAGCTCGGGACAAGGTGAAAAAGAATTTAAGAATGAAGTCTTATTGGTAGCCAAGCTTCAGCACAGAAATTTAGTAAGATTACTGGGATTCTGCTTGGAAAGACAAGAGAAGATACTCATTTATGAATTTGTTCCCAACAAAAGTCTCGACTACTTTTTATTCGGTTTGACCCTTCTCAACACATATCTAGTTCTTGAATTTTTATTTTTTTTCCTTATTTCAAGGTAAAAAATAATAATAATGATGATGATTTTCCTTGATGATTATTAATGTTCTCTCAATTGAACAAAGGCAGCAAGTTATAGATTTACTCCGTATTACTTTAAGATATATATGAGTACACGCTCTTGCATTATGACGAATATTGTTCAAAGATAGGAAACATTTCCTAGATAATATAAGCCAGTGTATGGAACTGGAACATTTGGAGTTGTAATATTTGATAGACTATCTTCTTTATATTTGTCAGTTTGATTGAGTTGCATCGCATTATAATTTAGTGTGATTATTATTAACCTGATAATCAATGTACAGATTCAAAAAAAAGAGAACAGCTTGATTGGTCAAGACGTTACAAGATTATAGGAGGCATAGCACGAGGAATTCTTTATTTTCATGAAGATTCTAGACTAAGAATTATTCATCGGGATCTCAAAGCTAGCAATATATTATTAGACGGGGATATGAATCCAAAAATTGCAGATTTTGGCATGGCGAGAATATTTGGTGTGGATCAAATCGAAGGAAGTACAAATAGAATAGTTGGAACATTGTAAGTTTTCAAACACTCCATCATGTTTTCCATGTTTTGAATTAATGAACTTAAAGATTATCAATCCCGGCTATTTAATGAAAAAGGAAAGGGTAAAAGTTGTTATTGACACTTCAATAAATTCATGCTTCCGCTAATATATTTAATCTCTATGCTTTAAATTATTATTAATATTATTGAATCTTTTGTTCATCATGCCAGCAATAATTTTAAAAATGTTTTAACTTCATTTAAGAAAGTGTTTAAAATTCTTTGAGGTTGACTTCTTATTTTTGAATTGTAGTGGTTACATGTCTCCAGAGTATATTATGTATGGACAATTTTCTGTCAAGTCCGATGTGTTTAGTTTTGGAGTCTCAATTTTGGAGATCATAAGTGGCAAAAAGAACAGTAATTTCTATCAATCGTCTGAGAATGAGGATCTTTTGGGCTTTGTGAGTATAGACTGATTATTGCAACTGTTATTTTTCTTTTTTCAGTACAAATATCTGCATCTCTTCTATGTAGAAAAAAGTATCCATAGTTGTTCTAAATCATTTCACGTGTTTTTCAGTCTTGGAAATGTTGGAGAAACGGAAAATCCTTGGAGTTGGTGGATCCATGTCTTGGAGATTCTTATTTGAAAGATGAAGTCATTAAATGCATCCATATAGGTCTCTTGTGTGTTCAAGAAAATGTGGATATCAGACCCTCCATGCCATCCGTAGTTCATATGCTCAATAGTTCCCTTGATACACTACCATTGCCTCTGCAACCTCCATTCTTTGATCGTACCAAAACAGAGTTGAACTTTCGAAAAAGGATGGAGTCGTGTTCTTTGAACGAGGCATCAATAAGTGAACTAAATCCTCGATGATGTTACTAAGTCTACGAATTGTTGAAATTGTATGTTGTGAATGGAAGAACTCCAAGCACGCAAGACATGTAAATATATTGGCGGGTTGAAAGATTGAAATTAAACAAATTTAATATTATCAAACAGGAATGCAAATTGTACTTTTAATCGAATATTCTATCCTCCATTCTGATAGTCCTACTTTTAATATTCCACAGCTCAGCTATGTAGACTTAGGCCCTGTTTAATATAGTCATTTAACACTTAAGGCAGAGAACACTATAGGCAAAATAAGTGTGTTTATTAACCATTTAGGCTACTACTTAAAACATGCAAAAAATTTAAGTGGTATAAACGTTAGTTAATGCTTATTGCCGAATATAGTAAGTGATGTTAAATTTTAAAATATTTTATTAATGACAATTTTAACATCAAATAATCATAATGTTATAAATTAAACATATTGATTGGGTTTGTTTATTGCCCTCTTCCTTCCTCGTATTGCATTTTTGTTTCCGGTTGCTGACTAATGAATTTTATTTTTAATTTACTTCAATGTCTCAAAAGTTTTAAGGACATTACTCTTTTATTTTATATTATTCTATTTCTTCTAATTGCCACTTTTACTAACATAATTTTATATTTTACTAATATAATATATACAACATCCAGATTTCAACTTTTATATTTAACAAATTTTAATAAATTTAACACTTAAAATTAAAATAATATCTAATAAATTTACAAATTAATACATTCAACACTTAAAATTCTAATGCAGATTCATGTAAGCTACCGTTCCAAAGAAAAGTATAATGTTAAATTGGACAGTGCAACACCTGTCATCATCAAAGTCATGGACTGGTTCCTCATTTCCACACCAAACGACCTAACCGATCAATTCCTCCATCTGGATCCTTTATTGACCCGGCTTCATTAAGTCCTCTGCCAATCATTTGAATTCCTTGAATCGAATGAAGTGTTAACCTATCAATATAAACTTGATTTTGCTAACTTAACCCATGGCATTTTTTAGGTAAAGTGCTCAATGATAATAATAACAATGCTTTCCTTAATTATTATTATCCTCATAAGTTCCAAACAGGGCCTATCATGGCAAATATTGGTCTGATGTCATTAGCATTTTTTTAGTTTGAAACTAAAACCACTCACAACAATTTTGTTGGGAACAGACGAAATTAGAAATGAAAGGGACTAATACAATGAGATAATATATATTTTGAAAATTCCATCACGAAATGATTGGATTTTATGAAATTTAAAATTACTAACGAACTTGTTTGATTGTTAGAAAACAATTTTTTCATTTTTTATTTTTTTTAAGGAATAACAAATAAGAACTAAACTTTTATCATTTAGTGAGTGCCACCCTTATTTTAATATACTTTAAATTCCAAATGCATACACAGGATTTCATTTCAAACTAGTACAAATTCTTTTACTATGGTCCAAATACACATTAATTCCATGAGATGTTTTCATTAATTGCTCAATTTAGGATCACTGTTAAGGAATTTTTTTCACTGCATGTAAAATAAAAAATTATATATATTCAGTGATGAATTATAAATTATGACATGTTTTAAGAAATTAGACATCTTCATCATCTTGAAAGAGGGAAAATATATATATATATATATTTAGGACACTACTATAACTAGAGTTTAAAATTGAAATGAAAATTGTGAAGTTCAACATGATGCATGCTCTATTTTGTCACGGCAACAGTCCACTCAACTTTTGGAGACTCCTCTAATCTTCCATTATGCTCTTGCTTTTATTCTCATAAACAAAGAATGGTCAAATCTTAGGAATAGATTTTAAAATTAAAGCTTGGCTTTGCATGATTAACATTCGTTGCAACTTTTTGATCCACTATGTTGGTTAAAAATTAAAATTGTGTCGTGAAAATGTAAGTGTTCGTTTCTTCTTTCTTTCTCTCTTTCTCTAGAATTCTTCCAATGAATTTTTTTTCTCTTATCCACCTGTAATGGTCTATTTATAGGTCATTACAATTATTATTGTTAACTTATTACATTGGGCCTATATTCAAAAGTTTTCTTCCAATGAGCTTGATCTTCCTCGGTGGATCCCCCAGGTTCGGCCCATTCTGGGGCGCTTTGGCACGGACCCTACTTCAATTGCTCGACCCGATCCCGTTCCAGCGAGCTATATCGTGAAAATGTAAGTGTTCGTTTCTTCTTTCTTTCTCTCTTTCTCTAGAATTCTTCCAATGAATTTTTTTTCTCTTATCCACCTGTAATGGTCTATTTATAGGTCATTACAATTATTATTGTTAACTTATTACATTGGGCCTATATTCAAAAGTTTTCTTCCAATGAGCTTGATCTTCCTCGGTGGATCCCCCAGGTTCGGCCCATTCTGGGGCGCTTTGGCACGGACCCTACTTCAATTGCTCGACCCGATCCCGTTCCAGCGAGCTATATCCGGCCCATGCCACTTGTTGCATCCTCAACTGCCCCCATAATTACCCCTTATTGATTAGGGGGTAATTATTAGAGGCTGTTAATGATAACCTGACGGCTCGAGAAGATCGCGTGGGAGAATGGACGGTTAGATTTAGGGGTCGGCGTTTCAAGATTCAAAAAACTCATCGTTTTCCTGACTCCTCGGCCCTTGGGCTCACCTTGTCTTTATAAGCTTCATAGATGTTCCGTCGATCCTCTTTACCATCTCCATCTCACTTTCTGTTGTTCGAATCCTCTCCGGCGATCTCTTGCAAAAGATCCTCCTTCCAGTGGCCTTACAGTACTTTCTGCCGTTTTCACTCTCTGAGGTTAGTTTCATTTGCATTTTTCTTTTGGAAGACTTCTTTCTCCTCCTCGAAATCTTCATTCATTCTCACCATGACAGTAGATCTAGACGTTCTTCGCATGAAACTTCACCTCCCTGACGATGTAGAAATTAGAAACTGCCCCCGAGAGGTGAATATTAGAACCGGTGCTGGCCTTCTTCCCGGCGAGGTCCTGTTTTCACTCCTCCATCTTAATCTCTTTAGGTTTCCTTTGCATCCCTTCTTCTGCTATGTTTTCAACAAGCTAAATCTTTCCCCTTTGCAAGTAAACCCAAATTTCCTTAGGATTTTGTCTGTTATGGTATTCCTGATTCTTGACAGAGGTCTGGATCTGGACCTCGTAGATCTTCTCCTCTGTTACAAGGTTAGCAAGATCAGAACTGATGAACCGTTTTACCACTTTTTCCCCATTGAGAAGAGATCCATCTGCACAGATAAAATCAAATCCGAGAAGGGTTGGAGGAAAAATATAATTGGGGTTAGGGGAGCCTGGTTCTCTCCAGCTGCGGAGGATTTCCCTATCCCAAGCACTTTTGGAGAGTGCTCTGTCTCTTTTTACAAGAAATATAAAAACCATAAGAGTGACTGTCCTTGCGAGATTTGCATTCCTCGTTTTTGTACTTTTTTGTGCCATTCCTTAGGCATTCCTTGTGATGATTTGAGCTACGGTGTGTGCAGGGATAGGGATAACTACCTGAAGCAGTACGTTTTGACCAACGTTCCCTCCTGCTCGGACCTCCTCACCTCAGACAATCTCCTCGATATCTCAATCCTCGGCAAGACAATGAGCCAACTCCAGATCCCTTCCTTCGGCAGGAAGAAAACTGCCCCCAGGCCTGCTATCACCCCTGCATCAAATTCTTCACCGGCTTCAGCATCTTCTTCCGCTACCCTTTCTGATACCACTCCTTCCACCGATCCATCCGTGACGGCTGCTGACCCGGTCGCTAACACAGCGACCGCCAGTCCGAACGTTACCCCTTCTGTCAGCAATCCTCCTGGTTCTACTATTGCTTCCGCACGGGAAAAGGCAAGGGAAAAAAGGCACCAACCTGATAGTGCCCTCAGCATCGATAACGTTCCTTTGTCTCAGAGGGTTAGGCCCTCTGGGCCGAATGTGATATCCCTAGCGAGACCTCCTCAGACTAGGCCCCCTACCCCTTCTGGGCATGCCTCCGCTTCAGGTACGGCGCCATGGAACCCTCGCTTCATTCGAACAGACGGATCGTCTGTTAAACCGACCGAGATCATGTTCAAAGATGGCCAGACCGCAATGGCTTACTACAGAAGCATGTGGACTCCCAAGGACATTGAGGTAGCCAAAGGTCTGTCTCAGAGGGAAGTGTTCAGCCGATTTCCCTTATCTGCCATGGAGGTAACTTCTGCTTCTTAGTCAATAAGTCTTTACACACTCTTTACACTTATTTTCTTCTAACCATCTGCTCGGCTTAACCAGTTGTCCTGTATATCTCTACAGACCCTGTACGGGATGATGGCTATGCAGAAACAAGTTGAGCATGTGAATGCCAAGGTCCGTGCGCTTTCTGACAGCCTTAATGCAGCGAACAAGGAGAACGATGATTTGGCTGCTCAGAAGACCGGGTTGATGGTTCAGCTTGGTAAAATTGAAAATGAGAGGGACTCGCTGAGGAAGGAGACTGACTCTCTTCAGGATGAGAGGAATGCGTTGCAGCTTGAAAAGAGTGTCTGGCATACCGAGCGGGAATCCCTTAAGGCTGAAAAGGAAGAACTGCTACGCCTTCTGAGTGATGAGCAATCCGCTCGGATGGCCTTTGAGAAAAGGGCCTTGGACGAGTGCAACGCTTTACTCGATACCATCAGTAGGGTAAACGGTGGTATGCTAGCTCTACATGCTCGGTTTTCTAGAGTTGGAGCCCTCAGATATGCTCAGGGGTTCCGAGAGGGTTATGCCGATCGTGTTCCAGATGAGGGTCAGACTAGTTCTACCCCTGATAATGTTGACAAGGAACTGGATATTGACCCTCCTAGTGTTTATACCGATCCAGACTCTACCGCTGCCGAGGGCATATTTGATGAATGCCAAGAGATTGCCTCTTCTCGGATCACTCCTACTCCTTCTACTGCTCTGACTTTGGACATTCTTCCTCTGTCCACCTTGACTCCATCTGTTATTACTGCTGAAGATAACCCTCAGCAGAATGATTCTTCCAACGCTATTGAGGGTAGGACTCAACAGAACGATTCTGTCATTCACCTCGACTCTCTACCTCGTGAGGATGGTGATACCAACAATAATGAGGAGACAGCCCAGCATCATCAAGAGGCTGACGAGGCAAACGTCTCTTAGTTAGAACTCTTTTTTTTTTTTTTTTTCTTAATGTACTGACTTTGGTATATTCGCCATCTTTACACCTCATCTTTTTTTGTAACTCTTTGAACTTTATTAATGAGATGGCCGACTTCTGATCAAGCTCTTTATGTAAACTCTTTTTTTTTTTTTTTTTTTAAGCAAGTGTTTGGCATTCGGCTCATAGTGCCAGCTGCCACTTACTTTGCTCAGGCGCCTGGCGCTCGGCTAGAATGCCACTTGCCACTTGGCCTTCTTTTTATTTATTTTTTTAGTAAGTGTTTGGTGTTCGGCTCATAGTGCCAGCTGCCACTTACTTTGCTCAGTCGCCTGGCGCTCGGCTAGAATGCCACTTGCCACTTGGCCCTCTGTCTTTCTTAGCGAGTGTTTGGCGTTCGGCTCATAGTGCCAACTGCCACTTACTTTGCTCAGGCGTCTGGCGCTCGGCTAGAATGCCACTTGCCACTTGGCCCTCTGTTTTTCTTAGCAAGTGTTTAGCGTTCGGCTCATAGTGCCAACTGCCACTTACTTTGCTCAGGCGCCTGGCGCTAGGCTAGAATGCCACTTGCCATTTGGCCCTCTTTTTTTCTTTTTCTTTTTTCTTAGCAAGTGTTTGGCGTTCGGCTCATAGTGCCAGCTGCCACTTACTTTGCTCAACCTTTTAAAGAGGAGTATAATCTTTATAAATCTCAGAAACTTGTACCTTCAACTGTATTCAATTGAAAATGAATAAAATTCAGTATTGAATCTCAACTTTTTATTGATAGTACCTCTTCAGAGAAGTAGCATTCCAAAGCTTGTTAACCAGCCTTCCGGCCATGGTTTCTAAGGTATATACCCCCTTTCCTATGGCTTCTGCAATTCTGTATGGGCCTTCCTATGGTGGCATCATCCTTTTGACTATCCCCACCTTCTTTTTCAGAACCAGATCACCTGGTCTAAAGTCTCTATGCTTTACTTTCTTGTTATGGTTGTTCGCAAGCGTCTGCTGGTAGGATGCGAGCCTTACCGCTGCTGCATCTCTTTTTTCCTCCAGCAAATCGAGGTTAAACCTTAACATACTGTTATTATGCTCATGGTTCCATGCCAAGCTTCGAACGGTCGGAACTAAGTGCTCGACTGGTATAACTGCCTCGGTACCATACGCCATGGTGAATGGGCTTTCTCCGATCGGTCGTCTAGGGGTCGTTCTGTAAGCCCATAGGACGTTCGGCAGTTCATCTAACCATCTTCCTTTCTTTTCTTCTAGCTTCTTCTTGATACAAGTAAAGATTGTTCTATTTGTAATTTCCGCCTGTCCATTGGCCTGTGGGTGACTTACTGCCGCCAGCTTTTGATTAATTCCATATTCCTCCAACAACTCTCTTACTTGCTTACTGTCAAGGTTGGTCCCATTATCCATGACGATTGACCTCGGAACACCAAACCGGCAAATAATATTATTCCAAATGAATCGTCTCACATGAGTTTGAGTAACGCTCAGATATGGCTCTGCTTCCACCCACTTAGTAAAGTAGTCTGTAGCCAGCATCACATACTTGTTCTGAGCTCTGGCAGTTGGTAGAGGACCAACTACATCCATCCCCCACTGTGCGAAAGGCCATGGTGTGGCCATTACGTGCAAGTCTTCAGGTGGTTGGTGAATCAGTGGTCCGAACCTTTGGCACTTATCGCACCTTCTGGACAATTCTTCCGAATCTCGCGACATGTTCGGCCAGAAGTACCCTTGAGCCATTGCTTTGTGCGCTAAAGATCTCCCCCCTGAGTGGTTTCCACATACACCTTCATGAATAGCTCGTAGTATTTGCCGAGCCTCTGTGGGGGTAACACACTTCAAGTACGGTCCGAAAAAAGATCTTCTGTATAACTGGTTATGCACTACGGCGTACTTCGCAGCATTCGCTTTGATTTTCCTAGCCTCATCTCTTTGCTCAGGTAGAGTACCATCTCAGATGTAAGTTATGATCGGATCAATCCAACTTGGCTCATATGGAATAACATTCACTTGCCAAGGATCCGAGCCAGAAGGTTCTTCGAAAATGGATGGCTGGTTAATATTCCCACTGGAATCACCCTTGCCAATGTTTCTCCAGAACCCGAGGCACTACATGCTAGCCGGTCGGCATCTTCGTTATACTCCCTTGGAATTTGAATGAATTCAATTTTTTCAAAGTTCTTCGCCTCCCGCATAACAGCAAAACAATATGCTTCTATCGTTTCATCCTTGGTTTCATACTCACCCCTCACCTGCCGAACAATTAACTGTGAGTCATTAAAAAAATTCAAATTCCTGACCTTAAGCTCCTTGGCAAGCTTAATTCCTGCCAGCAACGCTTCATACTCTGCCTCATTGTTCGTGGCTCCGAATTAAAGCCGAAGCGCTTGGCTTAAGGCTGTACCTTCTAGCGTCTGCAGTTTGATCCCAATGCCTGCACCCATCTAATTTGAGGATCCATCAACGAAGAGTTTCCATAAGCAACTACGAAGATCCTCCTCCATGTCCTCTGAATCACATTCAAGTAAAAAATCTGCCACCGCTTGCCCTTTGACTGCTTTTCTAGGTTCGTATGTGATATCAAATGAGCTTAACTCTATGGCCCACTTCGTCATTCTTCCTGAGAGATCTGGTTTGTGCAGGATTATTCTGATAGGGAAAGTGGTTAGAACGATGATAGGATGGGATTTAAAATAATGCCTGAGCTTTCTTTTCGCATGCACTAGCGAGAGTATCACCCGCTCTGCTTTTGAATAACGTCTTTCGGCCTTAGTCATTGCCTTGCTAACATAGAACACTGGATATTGCTTACCTTCTGCGTAGCGGATCAGAACGCCACTTTTCGCGATGCTGGATACTCCGAGATATAAAAACAGCTTTTCGCCCGATTCTGGAGCTAACAGTACCGGAAGGTTCTGCATATATTTTTTCAGAGCAGTTAACGCTAGGCGCTGTTCATCACCCCAAACCTGCCTGCCGTGGCTTCGTATTGTGTCAAAAAATGGTTTGCATCGATCTGACAATTTGGAAATGAACCGGCTCAGTGTAGCAATCCGTCCCGTAAGTGTTTGCACTTCTTTGATTGTCGTCGGCTCGGCATTCTTAGTCAGAGCATCTGCTTGGGCAGGGCTTGCCTCGATGCCTCTGAGATTAACCACGTACCCTAAGAATTGGCCTGAACTTACACCGAATGAGCACTTGGTCGGATTGAGCTTCATTCCATATCGCCTCAACACATCAAACACGTCTCGCAGATGCTTCACATGATCAGCTTTCTTCTTACTTTTTACCACCATGTCATCAATGTAAGCTTCCACTGTCTTCCCTATTTGTTCCTTATAAATTTTGCTAATAAGTTTTTGGTAAGTTGCTCCGGCATTCTTCAGTCCGAATGGCATAACTTTGTAGCAATACGTCCCGCGTTCGGTAACGAAAGAAGTTTTTGTTCATCAGCGGGGTCCATGGGGATCTGATTATAACCTGAATAAGCATCTAAAAAGGTCAAGCATTCATATCTAGTAGTTGCATCCACCATCTGATCAATCTTTGGTAGCGGGAAGCTATCCTTCGGACAGGCTTTGTTTAAATTGGTAAAATCAATGCATACGCGCCATTTCCCATTTTTCTTCTGCACAACGACCACATTCGATAACCAGTCAGGGTAGTACACTTCTCTTACAAACCCCGCATCAAGCAGTTTGTCAACCTCTTCGGCAATAATTCGGTTGCGCTCGGGGGCAAACCGTCGCTGCTTCTGCTTTACAGGTTTTGCATTGGGGTTAACATTCAAGGAGTGACAAGATACAGAAGGATCGATCTCTGGCATGTCTAGGTGACTCCATGCAAACACATTTGCGTTTTGAGACAAAAAATCAACTAATTCCTGTTTTTCCTTCTCAACGAGTCGTTCCCCTACTCTGGTTGTCCGTTCCGGTCGGAATTGATCGATCTGCACATCAAACAGGGGTTCTTCAGTCAAGCCTACTGGCTCTTCCTCCCCACTCTGCTTAGAGGGAGGCTCCTGTAATTGTTATCTCGGACTTGCTGAACGAATGGGAGCTTTCCCTTTTTCGGCATGTTTCAGTGTTACAGAATAACATTCTCTAGCTGCAACCTGGTCTCCATGAATGTCAATCACTTTGGTTCCGTCTGGCCCCAGGCATCTCATTACCTGATGCAGAGTGGAAGGAACACCTTGAACTCTGTGGATCCACCCTCTGCCCATCAGAAGATTGTAAGAGGGATGAATTTCAACAACCACAAAGGTTTCCATCAAAACCCTCTTGGCAGCATGTACCGCTACCTCCACCGTACCGACGGGCTCCACTCGCTTTCCATTAAACCTTAGTAGTGGATTCCCGGTGGATTTCAGCCGATCCTGTTTGATCTCGAGCCGATCGAATGTATCTCTTGGCATGATGTTCGCATTACTTCCAGGGTCAATTAGAACTCTGCGCACCAAGCATTTGGCCACTGTCAAACTTACGACCAGCGGGTCCTCATGAGGGATCTGAACACACAACAAGTTTGTTACGTCAAACTTTATTTGCGTTGATGCGCTCTGTTGGTGTAGAGTGTTTACACTGCTTATCCTTCTCTTCATCCGTGCCTGGCGAAAGCTTGTTCGAAGCAGTTCATCTGACTCCTCGGCAGGTTCTGGCCGACCGTAAATTACATTGATTACTCGAACTGGTTGCGTGTTGTGAGAATTCAACTTCTGATTCTTCTTCACGTGTTCCATTGGTCGGTTCTGCTCCACCGCTGGTCCTTGAATATAACTTGCGAACTCCCCTCTAGCTATCAGCATCTCTACCTGTCTCCTTAGGTTCCTGCATTCGTTAGTCTGGTGGCCAAAATCAGAATGAAATGCACAGTGCTTAGACTGATCCCTCTGTTCGAGAGGTTGTCTGATTGGTAAAGGAGGTCGGAACTTATCTTTATTTTCTTGGTACAGTCTCGCTAAGGTAACTTTCAATGGAGTAACCAGCTCTTCCTCTCTGGGCCTCTTCTCAGATTTCCACGAGGAGCATTGCGGCTGAACCTGTTTTTGCCTGATCTTTGCTTTGGTCTTTTCTTCCGTGGATATGATGGATGTCTTCCGAGCGTTTGCCGCCTCTTCTTCTTCCAAGCGCACAAATCCATCGGCTCTTTCATTAAGTTCATCCATAGTCTTCGGCGTGTTCACCACCAAGCTTGTGTGGAATGGGGTGCCACGGTTCATGGCCAGTATGAATGCTTGAACTGCCGTTGAAGGGTGACATTCAATAACCATGCTCTTGGTAAGGTTAAACCTGGTTAGGAAAGCCTGGAGACGCTCATCAGCATATTGCTTCATTGTGAATAGGCTCGAAATATCTTTCGCTGGACGCTTGTTTCCATAGTATTGGCTTATGAACCGATCACACAAGCTTCGGAAACTATCCACTGAACCCCTCGGCAGGTCCTTGAACCAATTCAGAGTTGGTCCGGCCAGACTCGTAGGAAAGCACTTGCACATCAAAGAATCATTCTCAGTGTTTAGAGCCATTTTCAACTGGATGTGATACACGTGATCGATCGGATCAGTCGTTTCGTCGAACAGAATGAAAACGGGCATGGAAAATTTCCTCGGACTCAGAGCATTCAGAATCTCATCGGTGAACAGTGAATCAATCGTTTGAGCTGCTGAACGGAGTGCTTCATTTTCCCTCTGGAACCCCGCGGCTGCTCTCTGGTCTACTGATCTCCTCTCTGAGCTGTGATAGTCGAACGTCGTCATGGAAGGCCGATAGGTCGGATCGAATGACCTGTCCTCAACAAAGTTTTTACGCCATGGAGGCATAGCTTTATGACGATTCAACTCTGTTGCTTCACCTCGGCTGAGCGTTTCTTGATGTGGATCAAAAGTCATTGCTTCGTTTCGCCTGATCTACTCACGCCGTGGATCTATGTGAGTTAATCCTTCACGATCATCAATACGACGAAGATTTGGCCGCAAACCGTCTCGCCGGATTTCCTCGCGGTGAGGATATACTAGATTGTTTCCAACCTCCTCACCGTGATGTGCTGCATCGGTACGTGCACCTTCTTCTCCTACCGGGAGTGGTCGTGGAATTACTGGAGCTTCTTGACGCTGCATTTCAGTCTTTAGATCCGTATTTTCTCTCCAGAGAGCTTCGATCATGTTCATCAACTCATTAAGTTTCACTTGCTGGACGTTCTCAACCGTATTAGAGTTGTTACCCCCTATCATGATTCCGGATCGAAGCAAAGGCATGAATTACGAGCTCCGAAACAGATCTAAGCGTCACCGATGCAAACTCCGTTAGATCTGGGCTTAACTTCACCGAATCGTGATCACTGTTTGCTAAATCTGAACTTTTCTAGCTTTGAACTCACCGGATCTGACAGCAATTGAGCAAATCATAATTGCGTCATTCCGAAGCAAATGCCTCAGAATCCACAATAAGCAAGAATTCTCTCTGAACAAACTGCAATCTCACTGATCTGGATTCAACTTCCAGAAATCACACTGTGTACTCACAAACTCGATTGAACTAATATGGTACTGATCAGGCTCGAATTGATCTTCGTCTCCGATTCCCACAGACAGCGCCAATTGAAGATGCAAGAATTCGTTTCTTCTTTCTTTCTCCCTCTCTCTCTCTCTAGAATTCTTCCAATGAATTTTTTTTCTCTTATCCACCTGTAATGGTCTATTTATAGGCCATTACAATTATTATTGTTAACTAATTACATTGGGCCTATATTCAAAAGTTTTCTTCCTTCTGGGCTTGATTTTCCAATGGGCTTGATCTTTCTCGGTGGATCCCCCAGGTTCGGCCCATTCCGGGGCGCTTTGGCACGGACCCTACTTCAATTGCTCGACCCGATCCCGTTCCAACAAACTATATCCGGCCCATGCCACTTGCTGCATTCTCATGTCGTGATTCAGATAACCAATTAATCAGTCTAGGGTTACTTTTTTAAATGTCTCTTTTAAAAATTGTGAATAGTAAAATTATGTGTCAAAATTTATAAAGATGACATTTAAAATGGGACAAAGGTAGTACTACATATTATCATTAGATATTTTGTAATGGTATTTGAAATGAGACGTACTAGAGATATTATTTTAATGAATATTATTGCAATAAGTAATTCGGTTGGAGTATCGAGCTTGATTATTTATTTTAAAATTTATCTTTCTTTCGATAAATGGAGTTTTTTATTATTATTATAAAATTAGAGCATGAAATTGAAAAGAAAATTGTGAGGTTGAAAGTTGTCTTATATTTTTTTTTCCTTCACTTAATACAAAGTTGGCACCACTTCACTAAATTTTTGGACTCCACTAATCTTTCACGGTGGACTTGCTTTTTCCTTAAAGCAAAGGTAGGGTTGTTAAAAATAAGGATAAATTTCATTTACCATTTTTAAGGTTTGTAAATATTTTATATACACCATTTTTATATTTCATAAATTTACATAATTTTCTAATCAGTGACAACCATTAAACTTTTGTAATAATAGTGTGTTATTTTACTATTTTTTCATAAATTGTTTATTAATTAAATATATCATTTAACGTATTAGAACGGCAAAATGAGCATTTTATTAAATTTGTCTTACTGATATGAGCAACATTTCCCAGATGCTAAATGACAATTAAAATTTGTTACGTAAATCATAATCTCAAAAAAGAGGGGTGAGATTCTAAAATCGTAAAAAGAGTTTCCATGATTTACATTCGTGTACGTCTTTTTGATCCACTGTGCGCTTAAAGAATGATTTATGATTCACACAAAATAACCCAATAAAACCAAGGCCAAAATGGGTCACCCATTTCTTAAATGCAAGAAAAGTTCCAACCTATCATCACTATTCGACACCTGTCCTCATCAATGTCATTATTCTCTGCAATGCTCTACCCCTTGCACCTTCACCACTCATTTCTGAATATTCAAAAAAAAAAAAAAAAAACTAAGGAAGACAATCTCAGTGCTTCTCTTTTTTCTTTTTCTGTTTTTTACTAATAAAGATTAATTATCAAAAAAAAAAAAAAAAAAACACAAAGTTCGATCACCCACAATGCCTTTCTCCAATAACTCCACAGCCCTTCTCTTTCTTTGCTTGCTCATCCTCACCACAAAAATTAGATCCGATCCTCTTTCAAGTGACTGCCCAAATTCAACGACTTTCACTCCTAACACCACCTACCACACCAATCTCAATCTCCTCCTCTCCAACCTCTCCTCCAACGCCACCACACCCGACAACGGATTCTATACCACCACCGCCGGTCGCAGCCCCAACACAGTCCATGGCCTCTTTCTATGCCGGGGCGATGTTACCACCGATCAATGTCACAATTGTGTCAAAACTGCAAGTCAAGAAATCCTACAAGAGTGTCCCAATAGGACCGTTACCACGGTTTGGTATGACGAGTGCTTATTGGGTTATTCAAGCAGAAACATCTTCTCCACAATGGACATATCTGTTTGGATTACTCTGCCCAACTCTACGAATGTGAGCGAGGAACCTGACCGGTTTATGGAGCTGTTGGCGAGCACAATGGATGAGTTAGCGGATTGGGCAGAGACAAACCGGTCAGGTAAGAAATTTGGTGCTAAAGTAGCTGACTTCACAGCGGTTCAGAAGCTGTATGGGCTTGTACAGTGCACACCAGACTTGTCTACCGATGATTGCAACACCTGCCTTCGAGATGCCATAGCACGTCTTCCAAGTTGCTGCGGCGGAAAGCAGGGGGGAAGAGTTCTGTTTCCGAGCTGTAATATTCGTTACGAGACTCACCCTTTCTTCAATATCTCTGCCTCTACACCAGTGCCTGCGCCAGTTCCTCCTCCTCCTCCGGGTTCTAGTACCGGTAAATATGTACTCTATGAGGTCATGAATTTGTTGGTAGTATAATGTATTAAATTTAATTTATAAGCCCATTGCTGGAGTGATCAAAATTGTTAGCAATGCAATGAGAGGATCTGGTTTGGATAAATACTTACCATATTATGTTACCCTTTAGTCTTACTATTTTATTTATTTTGTTGTCTACAAAATCAGTTTGATCAAGGAAAATATTATTTGTTCATAGAGAATTTCCAATCAAGCAGTTTTCTCTCTTTGGTGCAGGAAAAGGAGGAACCTCAATAATACATTTCATGTTTGATTGTGTAGTTGGGGATGATAGCACAGAAATAGAGTCCTTGTCATATGATTTTGTAACAATTGAAGCAGCCACAAATAACTTCTCTCATCAAAACAAAATTGGTGAAGGTGGATTTGGTGCGGTTTATAAGGTAAGTGGTTAGTACATGTACTTTATTTCAAGGACAACAACCAAATTATATTGTTCAGAACCCATGTTTACTGAAGTATGAAAAACTAGTTGGACCAATTCCATTTCTAAAGTTTTCGGAAAATAATTACCAAACCATAAATTTCCATCCGTACATACTTTGTTAAAGACCAAAACCCCAATTGCCAATACACATCGATTTGTAATTTTGGCGTATAAAAAATTATGTACTGGTTCATAAATTTATCAATGTGTATGTTCAAATTTACAGATTGGAAAATAAAGTAGGGATGTCCAAGTTTTCACTCATTCTGTAATTTAGTACAACAGTCCAAAATATACATACTGGTGCATGGGACAATAACATCTTATGAATTAGTGCTCGTGTTTATGTTCACATTTTAGAACCACTACATTTGATACAATTACCAATGCTATTCCAACAAACAGTGGAAGTTCATAATTCTCAGTTCTCACAAATTCATAGATAGGTTAGACCACTTTGATTGTTCACAGTTTTGTAATTTAAGGACCAAAAGACAATACTTTATATAGTTCGTCCATGATTTTAAGCATGCCAAATTCAGACACTCCAAAACTTTGCAGGTTTATGAAGTTTCAGGTAAAATATTCAATAATTGATTATCATTATAACATAAATAAACAGGGTACACTTTCAACTGGACAAGAGATAGCTGTGAAGAGACTATCCAAAAGGTCCCGACAAGGTGCAGAAGAATTCAAGAATGAAGTTGTATTGGTAGCCAAGCTTCAACACAGAAATCTAGTTAGACTGCTGGGATTCTGCTTGGAAAGAGAAGAAAAGTTGCTTATCTATGAATTCGTCCCCAACAAAAGCCTCGACTATTTCCTATTTGGTTTGGCCCATCTCAAAAATTTTATAGAGTTATTGAATTTAACTATTTTTTTATGTTCTACTCCTTAAAATACATTATCTCCATAAGACACCATCTGAATAAGCAAACAAAAAAATTGGATCTTAAATAAACATATATACTGTGTATATAGATGTTCTAAAGGCCAAGAAATGGTTTATTTATTTTTGGTTTCTATATTGTGAGTCATAGTATTAAGTACACAGCATTTGGATGATTGTTAAACATAAATGGAACATCCATGGAAACATTGGAAGAATGGAACATCCATGGAATTGTTGGATCCAATTCTGGCAGATTCTCATTCAAGAAAGGAAGTCATGAGATGCATCCACATTGGCTTACTGTGTGTTCAAGAAGATGTGGATGCCAGGCCCTCCATGGCATCCGTGGTTCTTTTGCTCAACCGTTATTCCGGTACCCTACAATTGCCTCAACATCCTCCTATCTTTGGCGGTAGCAGAACTGACTCGAGCATACCAAAAGGGCTGGAGTCAGATCAATATACAAGCAAGTCTGTCCAATGGTCTTTGAATGAAGCATCGATTACTGAACTACACCCTAGATAATGTAAGTTAAATAAGTGTATGCTATAAAGTGTGAAATTAATAAATTCAACGTCACAGACTATGAATGTATCGTCAGAGGTCTAGAGATTAGCATTTGTACTCACCTATTGCTATTTTTTGAATTTTCAGCATTACTAGTCAAACAAAAACCCCATTTTGACATATAATCACTCCAAAAATGCATCTCTTAGTCTCCTAACAGGACCTATCGGGGCAATATTGAACGGATGTCCTCCTATCTTCTCTTTCCTCTTATTTACTAATCAAGTTCCCGAAATAACACTAAAGGTGTATAACCATCATTAAATCCTAAAGGACATATATGCAAATGAAAATTATTTTGTTTGGAACAAACAAAATTTGAAAGAGTTAACGTAAATGAGATATTATACTATTTTGAATATGCCATTAAGAAATGATTGGATTTTATAAATTTGAAAATTACTAAGGACTTGTTTGATTATTAGAAAACATTTTTTTTCCTTAAAGAATAACAAATAAGAACTAAATTTTATCATTTACTCAGTGCTTTTCTTATTTTAACATTTTAAATTCGGTCAGTGCCACCCTTATATTTTAACATTATAAATTTGAAATGCATGTAATGGATTTCGTTTCAAAATTTTTTAATTTTTTTTAAGATCCAAATATACAATGTGTTACTGTTGGTTCCCTTGTGAAGAAAGATATTACACCGCATGGAGATACTTGCACTAAAAATAATTAATTGTTACTCGAAGAATTAGTTTCAAAGGAATCAAGGGGCCGAGTCAGTGTATGCCCGGGGCACTTGCCCTCCTTATATAATATATATAGTAATTTTTTTATTTTTCATATATGTATATAAAAAATTTATGTAATGCCCCCTTAAAATTATTAATTTTTAAAAATTTAATATTTCAGTTAAAGCATGAAACTAAAAAAAAAAAATTTGTGAGGTTGAACGAGATGTCATATATTTTATTTTGTCACTTAATACAAAGTTGGCAACCCTCCACTAAATTTTTGGAGACCACTAATCCTTTCATGATACATTTGCTTTTATTCTCATAAATAAGAATTATCTAATCAAAGGAATAGATTTTAAAAATTAAAGCGTGGCTTTGCATCTTCTTGATCCACTATGTTGGTTAAAAATTAAAATTTGGTAATGATTCAGATAACCCAAATGACCAAGGCAAAAATGGGTGACCCCTTTTCTTGGTGCGATGTGCAAAGAAAATTCCAACCTATCATATCCATTCCACTCCTATCCTCATCAATTATGTCATCACTCTCTCATTATTTTCTACAACGAACAATCTGGTGAAAGTTCCAAACTAAAAATCATAATTGCTTTATTGACTCCAATCAATCGAGTCTTTCTAAGCCGCCTCAACCCTTAACACCTTCACCACTCATTTCCTGTGAACTTATATCTCAATCTGATCGATTTTGATAAACCAAACAACCTCTTTCTATGCCCAAATCCAAGCAAGAGATTGATTGATCACCCACTATGCCTTCCTTTAATATCTCCATAGCCCTTCTCTACTTTCTTTGCTTGCTTAGCCTCCTCACCACTAAAAGCAGCTCCCAACCTCTTTCAGATTACTGTCCAAACACCACGACTTACAGCACTACTCTTAACAGCACCTACCATGCCAATCTCAATCTCCTCCTCTCCAACCTCTCCTCCAACGCCACCAAACCCGACACCGGATTCTATAGCATCATCGCCGGTCGCAGCCCCAATGCCGTCTACGGCCTCTTTCTATGCCGGGGCGATGTCACCACCGATCAATGTCACGATTGTGTCCGAAATGCAAGTCAAGAGATACTGCAGCGGTGTCCCAACAGGACAGAGGCCGTGATTTGGTATGACTTTTGCTTATTACGTCACTCCAACAGAAATATCTTCTCCATTGCGGACTCATCAGTTGGGATAACTATGTGGAACCCACAAAATGTGACCAACGAGCCTGTGCGGTTTATGGAGGTGATGGGGAGCGCAATGAACGAGTTAGCGACTCGGGCAGCAAGTGGCGGGTCAGGTAAGAAGTTTGCAGTCCAAGAGACAAACTTCAGTGTTTCAGAGGATATATTCACTTGTGCAGTGCACACCGGACCTGTCTACTAATGATTGCAACACGTATTGGAATTTATATGTCCTAGCATAGCAAATTTCTATTTGGATTATAGTGACATATGTTCCTGACATATCTAAAATATTTATGATTTATATAATTGGTGAATTCAATGTATTATGTTTTGATTCACTATGAAATTAATAGTGTCCCTGTGATTACGAGAAATATTTATATATATATATATATATGTGATGGCAATTAATGCATGATATATAAATAGTAATTATAAATTGTTCATAATCGATAATTATGGATGGACTCATAATTAATTAAGACTTGAACTGGATCTGCGTTAGGTTGAGATATATTGCGAGAGCCGTCGTATGTAATTGCTCCCTATCATCGTCATAGCATTTGACTCTTAAGCATGAGAAAATTATACTCTTTTATTAATTAATAATTACTTGATTTATTCGGCGGATTCTTCGGAATCCTTAAACCGACACTTTGGGTAGTTATGTAATTAATAGTTAAAGGGTTATATTTTCAATATTTGCATCATTACTACTTATATTTATTTTGTATTGATTATGGTTGATCATAAAGTAAATTCGAAGGTTTTCGTATGTTTTTAGACAAAATGATTTATTATATATTTATTTATTTAAATTATTATTTTGTCAAACAAATGTTTTTATTGTGATCGAGCCAGAAATAATCAATGGTACCAAAATAAATATATTAATTAAGTAGTCGGATTGATGGTTTTATTTATCCGATAACTAATTATGCATAGAGGGGTCAAAGTGCAATCTTGACTTAGTGGTTATTTATTATTTAATTGAAGTTCAATTAATTTCTTTTAGTGGAGTAGAAATTAATTTATAAATTAATTGAATTAGGTCCATGAACCGGGCCAATTATTAATTCATTATAGCCAATAAAATAATAGGCCCAATGAATTCTCACTCATAGCCCAACTTGATATTGGAATCATATTAGATTTGAAACATGTGAATTAGAGATTGAGAAGGATTTGTTGTTTCCTTTTCTTTACCTTTATGTTGCCTATAAATATACATGGTCTATGAATATTTGAGGGGTGATTTTTGGAAGAAGAAAAAAAGGAATAAATTTTCTCTCTCTAGAAAATTAGGGTTTATGTTCTCATCTAATGGAGACTCCCACAAGCCTAGTTTTCCAAGGTCATTCATGGAGGCTTATGAGTGATTCTTAAAAGCAAAACAATTACCAAGAAGATGGAGATCCGAGGAGAAGGCATCTTGCTAAGGGATCTACAATAAATGAGAACATTCACTTTAGATGAAAGATTTAAAAGTTTACTCAGACCTTTGATATAAGTATTCAATCCATTAATTGAATGATACATCATATTTTTATTTTTGCATAAAACTTGTCTCTATGTGATGAATCAAGATTTATGAATTTAAATCCCTCGAAAAGTTTTTAAATATTGCACATTTCCCAACAGTGGTATCAGAGCATGGTTTAATTCATTACTAGAGATCATGTTTCTATGAAATTCATCATCATGGATCCAAATTATATATATATATATATATATTGATATATGATTTAATGTATTGATACATGATGATGTATGTATAATTGTGAATGGATGATGATGTGTGTTTGGGCCATGAATGAAGCTTATAGGTTTATTGAATGTAATTTTATTTTTGGATGAATGTAATTAAGGCTTTGATTTAGCCGTTTGAAAGTTCAATGATGTAATTTAATTTTTTCCATTGTATTTCAAATTGTAAATATTTTTAAAGCCATGTAATTTTCATCAAAGGATGCTATGAAGCTTCAAGAGGGTCCGAAAGGGTTAAATTATGCTTCAGTAATTTTCTGGAATTTTTTCGAATTTTTTGAAATTTTTCTGGAATTTTTTGAGACTTAATTTAATTTTCTGGGAATTTTTCTGATTTTTCTAGAATTTTTCGGCGTTTTCCGGTGGCCGGAGCTTCGCCGGCGGCGAGAAGAGGCATTGGAAGAGGCTGGAATCACATGCTTCGCACCAAAGGGTGAGCCTGGTGCGTGAGGAACACGCGCCAGGAAGTAGCAAGCGCATGACATGCTGGCGCGTGCATTGCACGCGCCTGCTAAAGCTGAATTTACTTCCACGCGCGTGAAACGCGTGGAAGCGCGTCCCATGCGCCCCAGGTGCGTGCCAGCGCGTGGGGGCACGTGCATTCACCTGCTGCATGCCCCCGACGGGTTCCGAACGCTGTTTTGCTTCTCTAGGCTCGTACCATCTCCTTACAGGTGTTTACAAGTCGGTAATGGGCCCTCGCGCAATACTTAGAGCAATTAAATGTTAAAAGCTGAATCCATTGGCCATTTAATTTGCTTTATCTGTCATTTATTGTTGTATGTGATGCATGAAATAATTAATTGTTAATTATTATTATTCATGCATTGGATCCATGATATTTATTTAAATGGCTTGATTTATATTAGTTAAATTATGAAAATTAATTGGATTTGATTACTAATTAATTAGATGGCACTTATTGGGAAACGAAAAATTATTTTTGTAAATTATTTTTGAAGTGTGCCTCAAATTAAATATTAGTGAATCATTTAAGTCCAAATATTTTTTAAATTTAATTGGATTAAAATCAAGACGTTTTGCATGCATCATATCATGTATTTGAATAAAATGAAAACCCTAATTATGAATGATTAAAAATTGAGTGGGAGCGGGGAATTTTATACATTGCCCCATGGCCTTCGTTATTAATACCATTGTAATTAGATCTTCAAAAATAAAGCCCCACGCATGATTTGAAGAGTCTTAATATTACAAGAATGGTTGTCTCATGAAAATAAAAATATTAAATGTTCATTGTAATTAGATCTTTAAAAATAAGGCCATACGCATGATTTAAAGAGTCTAGATTATAATGACAACATATTTAATGTTTTATTTTTCGTTAGAATTTTAATAACGTTATACACTCAATCTAAAATCAATAGTGTTAGCTTCCCAACGGAGTGGTCTACACTAGGTGATTTTAGAAAGGCTAAATAAAATCGGGAATCATTTCATATGATAAACAAGGCATTGTCTTAAGAGATATAAAAATGATGGGATTTGCCCGCCAATAGCAATAATGAACTTCACCAACCAAATAAGTTATTGGCGTATTGGTTATCCGATTTTTCATGCAGTGGTTAAGGGACCCACATAGTATTATTTTAATGGAAGTGCTCACCTAATAGCAAATGAATCTCTACAATAGTAATAATGAACTCCTCCAACAGGATAAGTTATTGACATATTGATTGGTTGATTTATTATGCTACAGAGTTGAGGGACCCGCATTAATTAAAAGGGATTGTTCACCAATAATGATAATAATCTCTTGTTCGATTGAGATTTATTATATTATGTGGTAAACAAACTCATTTTAATTTTAAATATACATGACAGTATTAATAATTCACCTTGCATATTGTATGAATGCATTTATATTCAGACTAATTATGTCTAATCCATTTTATCTGCTTGCTAATTTCAATGTATGTAGACTTCATTTATAATGACTAGAAAAGGAATTTAGATATTTTATTCACAACGTGGTGGTACAAGTGTATTTACTACTCCTAAAACCTAATCCTTTTACTTTAAGATACCCAAGAGAACATTAATACTTTGAATAAGTGAAATAAGGCAAATGAGATGAATTGGTGCAATATTCTAGAGTTTACCTCGAATACGCTCCAAAGCTAACAATTACATTATTTTATTTTCTTCAAGCATCATGTTAAATGTCAATAAGATGTTTTGGTGAGATTAGATAGAGAGTATGTCAAAGCACTATATCAGACTTGAATAGCATCAAGATAGCCTAAGGAACTCTAGTATGAAATCGAATTTTGGAAAATGATTGTTTATTATTTAAAAATTAGCTGGAGATCAATAAGGCTGACTTGAGTGGTAAGTTTCAAGTTGACATGATTATTGCCTTGTTACCAAGCTCATTCGATTCTGTTAGAGTGAACTAAATAAGGAATCAGTTTGAGTTCACACTCGCTGATATTCTTATAGAATTGGTAACAGATGAAGGGATAATCAAGAGTATGGGCGTTCCTATCAATCTAACCTAGTCTATACCATCTTCTTCTAGGCCCAAGTGGACGGGCAAAGCAAAGAAGAAGGATGATAATAGGACTAGACTAGCACAAAACATAGGTATCTAAAAGGTTAAAGGGAATAAGGCAGTGTATGTTGAGGGCAAATGAAACTGTTTCTTTTGCCGCTAACTAAAACACTATAGGACGAACTGTCTAAGCAATGACGTGACATAGGAAAATATATATTTAATCATTAACCCATGTTATGTGGTTGCATCTATTAATTCCTGATGGATAGATTCTGGAGCTACTAAACATGTTTGCAATTCATCGTAGGGATTTCAGGAATCCAGAAGCCTTAATGATATGGATATATATTTATCGATGGATTTACACTGTGAAGTATAAAGCTGATGGCACAATTAAACACTTTAAAGCAAGATTGGTGGCAAAAGGTTACACCCAAACCTATGGAATCGATTACACAGAGACATTCGCACCTGTAACCAAAATCAACATAGTTCGTGTCTTGTTGTCTTTAGCTGCGAACTTGGATTGGCCATTGTAACAATTCGATGTGAAGAATGCCTTTCTGCATGATGAATTATCTGAAGAAGTCTACATAGATCTCCCACCAGCATGCATGATACCCGAAAAGTATAGTCAGAAAGTATGCAAGTTAAAGAGATCATTATATGGGTTGAAACAATCTCCGAAAACATGATTTGGAAGATTCACAAAGTCAATGATAACCTTTGGCTACCGTCAAAGCAATTCAGACCACACATTATTCCTAAAGAAATAACAGGGTAAGATCACTGCACTCATTGTATATGTAGATGACATGGTAGTTACAGGGAATGATCCTGAAGAAATGAAGGCTCTCAAGAATTACTTGTCCAGAGAATTCGAAATGAAAGATCTAGGTCCTTTGAGATATTTTCTTGGAATCGAAGTATCTCGATCTAATAAAGGAATCTTTCTATATCAAAGAAAATATGCTTTAGATCTATTACAAGAGACTGGCATGACAGCATGTCAACTAACTGAGACACCAGTGGAAGAAGGACTGAAGCTATGTGTTGAGTCCAACCAAGTACCT